ATTATTTTACGTTGTAACGTGGATATTATGCATTGTAAGTGAATTTACTGTAATCTTCATTATTTGATGAGGCATATGTAAAGTTGTAGCCAATAGATCCTAAACACCTGACTAGAGGCATGTCTTTTTGGATTTCACACACGCGGCGCTTGAACTCTGCATAGAGACTCGGCACCTACAACACATACATAACGCTTGGATTATCTACTTGTATACTGGCGAATCAAGTGTATAAGTGGCGCTTGAGCTTTTGCTTCAATGTTGCCCGAGGTTTCTATGTCGTAAGATTCTATATGTTATTGTTTGTTTTATAAATATTATTATTTTATTATAATTAATAATATTAATGAAATAATTAGTAAATTTAAAAGAAAATATTATTATTAATATTAAAAACATATTATTATTTATATTATAAATTTTTAAGATATTTTTTATAAAAATAAAAAGTGAGCCCGCAGCACGGTATTATTAAAAATAATCAACAATTCTATATATTAATATAAAAAAAATATTATAATATGAGTTGTAAATATCATTAGTTTTCTTATAATACAAAGTATTCATATAAAATATATTAGTATTTGTGTTCTAAATTTTATATATATAATTCAAAGTATTCATATCAAATATATTATTATTTGTTTTATAATATTATTATTTTTATAAGAATTAAAATCTTTAATAAAAAAAATATTATTATTTGGATTCTAAATATTCTTGGAATTAAAAATAGTATTAGTTGTGTTATGAATATTAATATTTTCACCATAATTAAAAGTATTAATATTAAAAATATTATCTTTTGTGCTATAAATATTATTATTATTATAATAAATTAATATTATTAATAAAATAATTACTAAATTATAAAATAATTATTTTTAATATTGAAAAACACTCATAAATTTGATTTGAAAGGTAAAACTATAGATTACTATTAGTATTATTATAATTATCACCATTAATAAATTTTTAAAAACTATTATTATTATCAAAGAAAAACCACGTGGGAACACATGGTGTTGGATATGCTTCCTAGTGCTAGGCAAACCCCCTACACCCACATGACACTTGAGTTGCCTGTCTGGGACTTTGGCACACCCCAACACCCACGTGACTCTTGAGCTACATTGAGCATGTCCATGCCCACATCCCACTTAGGCATAACTAGTGTTTAGGTCCTATAGCTAGACGCAGGGGGAAGTGTCCATGCCCACATCCCACTTAGGCACAACTAGTGTTTAGGTCCTATAGCTAAACGCAAGGGGGAATGAGTTCGATGTCACGATCCAAGAGCAGTGAATCATGTGTAAGGACTCAATTTTAAATATTATTATTTGTTTTGAAATTATTATTATTATTATTATTATTAAAATAATTCATAAATTTCAAAGAAAATATTAAAATTAATAATTAAAACATATTATTATTTATATTATAAATGTTTATGGTGTTTTTCATAAAAAAAAAAGTAAGCATGCGGCATAATATTATTAAAAATATTCAACAATTCTTGGTATTAATACAAAAAAAATATTATAATTTACGTTTTCAATATTATTATTATTATTATTATTATTATTATTATTTTACAATACAAAGTATTCATATAAAACATATTATTATTTTTCATATTATTCAAAGTATTCATATCAAAATATTAATATTTTTCTTAGAATTCAACATAATCATATCAAAAATATTATTATTTGTGTTAGAATATAATTATTTTTATAAGAATTCAAATGTTTAATAGAAAAAACTATTATTATTTGCATTCTAATTATTCTCAGAATTAAAAATAGTATTAGTTATGTTATGAATATTGTTATTTTCACTATAATAAAAAGTATAATATTAAAAATATTATCTTTTATGTTATAAATATTATTATTTTTATAATAATTAATATTATCAATAAAATAATTATTAAATTAGAAAACAATTATTTTTAATATTGAAAACGCTCATAGATTTGATTTGAAAGATAAAAATAAAAATTATTGTTATTATTATTATCATCATCATCATTAATAAATTTTTTAAAACTGTTATTACTATCAAAGAAAAACCATTTGAGGACATGAAGTATTTGGGTTGTTGTTTGGTGCAAGGTACATCCTTTACGTCCACATGGTATTTGGCTCCTGCCTTAGTGCCCCCGTGTGGTACTTGAGCTTCTACCTCAATGCTAGGCACATCCCTACATACACGTGGCGCTTGGGCAACTTGCTTGGAACTTGAGCACACCCCAATGCCCAAGTGGTACTTAGGTTGTGCTGGGCATGTCCATGCCTGCTCTCCACTTGGGTACACCTGACGCTTGGGTCATGCTGTTAGACTTAAGAGGAATGGGTCCTGCGTCATGACCCAAGATCAATAGATTGTGCATAAGGACCTAATTCTAAATATTATTATTTATTTTGAAAATATTATTATTTTTATTTTAATTAATATTATTAATAAAATAATTAATAAATTTCAAAGAAAATATTACTATTAATATTGAAAACATACTATTATTTATATTATAAATGTTTATGGTGTTTTTTTCATAAAAATAAAATGTGATCTAAACATATTCAACAATTATATATATTAATATAAAAAATATTATAATATGCATTGTCATTATATTATTTTTCTTACAATACAAATTATTCATATAAAATATATTATTATTTTTCTTACTATTCAAAATATTCATATAAAACACATTATTATTATTTTTCTTAGAATTCAACATATTCATATGAAAGATATTATTATTTGTGTTAGAATATTATTATTTTTATAAGAATTCAATTTTTTAATAGAAAAAATATTATTATTTTCACTATAATCAAAAGTATTATTATTAAAAATATTGGCTTTTGTGTTATAAATATTATTATTTTTATAATAATTAATATTATTAATAAAATAATTATTGAATTAGAAAAAAATATTCTTAATATTGAAAAAAACCCATAAATTTGATTTGAAAAGTAAATCTAAAAACTACTATTAATATCATCATCATTATCATTAATAAATTTTAAAAAACTATTATTACTATCGAATAAAAACCACATGGAGACTTGTAGCGTTTGATTTGTTGTCTGGGGCTGGGCAAACCCCCTCTCTCACTTGGCACTTGGGCTCCTACTTGAAGCACTCACGTGGCACTTGGACTTCTACCTTAGTATTGGGTTCACCCCTACGTTGTGTTTGGCCTACCTGGGGCTTGGGCACACCCCTACGTTGCGTTTGGCCTACCTAGGGCTTGGGCACACCCCAATGCACACGTTGGACTTAGGCTGTGCTGAACGTGTCCATGTTCGCATCCCACTTGAGCATACCCAACACTTAAGTCATGCAACTCGACTTATAGGGAATGAGTCATGCGTAAAGATTCAATTCTAAGTATTATTATTTGTTTTGAAAATATTATTATTTGTAATTTAATTAATATTATTAATAAAATAATTAAGAAATTTCAAAGAAAAAATTACTATTAATATTGAAAACATATTATTATTTATATTATAAAATTTTATGATGTTTTTTATAAAAATAAAAAGTGAGCCTGCAGCATAATGTTATTAAAAATATTCAACAATTATAGGTATTCATATAAAAAAATATTATAATATGCATTGTAAATATTATTATTTTTCTATAATACAAAGTATTCATCTAAAACATATTATTATTTTGAGTATTCATATCAAAATATTATTATTTTTCTTGTAATTAAACATATTCATATCAAAGATATTATTATTTGTGTTATAATATTATTATTTTTATAAGAATTCAAATTTTTAATATAAAAATATTATTATTTGCGTTCTCAATATTCTTGGAATTGAAAATAGTATTATTTGTGTTTTGAATATTATTATTTTCACTATAATCAAAAGTATTATTATTAAAAATGTTATCTTTTATGTTATAAATATTATTATTTTTATAATAATTAATATTATTAATAAAAAATTAGTAAATTAGAAAAAAATTATTGTTAATATTGAAAAACACCCATATATTTAATTTAAAAAATAAAATTAAAAATTATTATTATTGTTGTTATTATCATCATTATCATTAATAAATTTTAAAAACAATTATTATTATAAAAAAAAAATCAAGTGGAAACATGTGACATTTAAATTGTTGCCTGGAGATTGGATCCACCTCTACACTCATGTGACGCTAGGATACTACCTTAATGCTAAATATATCCCGATGCATATGTAATGCTTGGACTATCTATCCGGGAGTTTGATACCCCTAACATATATATAGCACTTGAACACCCTAAGACCCAATTATTCTCGAGCCTAATATTATACAAAATCCAAAATAATTTTAAACTATTAGCTGGGCTTAAAATAAAATAATACTTAAATAGTTTTAGGACCTCCTGACATCATAACATAACCCAACTTTTTTAAAAAATAGAAGGTGAGCCATAACACGACTGAAGTATGAAAACTATAACCAATTGCGAATTAAGTTTAATTATACCAATATCATGAAATTAATAATGCAAAGCTTGTATTATTAAGAGCTAAACTTGGTTTAAATTTTGTTTTTTCCATTTCAAAATATTATTACAGGCAATATGATGTGAGGCTAAAATATTTTTTTTCATTATATATTGGGATTTTTTTTCTTATTATTTGATTGTAGGAGGAGTATTTTTTTTCCCTAAGATGATGTTTATATTGTGATAATGATTATTTTTTAAAGTATTTTTTATTTAAAAATATATTAAAATAATTTATTTATTTAAAAAATTTTATTTTTTATATTAATATACAAAAATTTGTAAAAATATAAAAAAATTAATTTAAAATAAAAAAATTATATATATATATTTTTTAAATACACCGCAAAAACAATAATTACCTAGGAGCAGGAAACACCCTATCTAGCCGTTACACCCACCGTCTATTTTGCCAACGTGGCACTTCCATAATTCAAAACCCATCCAAAATCTGATACTCCTTTTGAATAAAGAATTTGACCGTTAGCTTCCTTTCTAATCAACGAAACCACGAAACACTAATTTTTCTGTTTCGAAAGCTAGAAGAAAATTCAAGAAGACAACAATGGCAGCCGATTATGCATTCAAGGAAGAAGATATGGAGATCGATGAGGGATTTGGGTTCCCAAGAGCCTATGCAAAGCTATGTAGTGATCATGGTGTTGTTGGGACTTATACCCATGGTCCTCCTTTCGCTTTCATTCCATATGCAATGCAGCAACATGAGGTAATTTAAAATAAAAAAATGGTCCCATTGTCACTCAATGAGTTAAATTTTACAGGGATTTACTAGAATTACACAGATAGGGCCTCTGTTATTTGATTTTGTTTTCTTGTTATAGAATTTATAAAGAAACTCTACTAAGATGATGTGGTTTTAGGATGAAATTGAGATGTTAAAGTTGAAGCTAGAACTCGATATCAAACAAAAGATTAGACAACCAAAATGGATCATGAATTTTTGGATAAAATTGGTTTAAAGAGTTAATACTGTCGACAATTCGGCTACTGCAACGCATTTTCCGGCTCATGTTATGAAATGATTTACAATGATAGTTTCCTTTTCAAGTAGTATGGGTTTCCATTCCATCTATTTGATGGAAAGCTGGCTTTGGTCATAATTTTCTCTGCAGATTTTGAGAACAAGGGAATTAGATCAGCTGTTTCCAGTTATTGAGCCAAAAGCGAAACAAACTGCCAAGCCCAAGGTTTTTATCAGTCTCTTGTGGAGGCAGCTCAATCACCTAGGGTAACCGCTTCATCTCTGCTCTGACCCTTACCAAAATACCATAATTTCTATGGTAATATATTGAGGTGATATCTGATTTGTTTGCTACTGTGTTGGGTTTTAGGAATGCTGGATTTGATCCCGCAGTAATTCGAGTGGATCCTTACGGCAATGTTCTATATTTTCATGCTGATAAAGCCTCTCCTCTTGCTTGGGACATTGATCATTGGTTCCCTTGCCCAAGTACATAATCAATCACTACTATCTCTCAATCTCTCTGTGTAAATACATACAACACATCTGTGATGTGCGATTTTGCTCATTTGAATTGTAGGGGGAGGATTGACAGTTCCAAGAAATCTGAGGATACTACAACGGCAAGTGTGCAAGAGGAAGCATAACAAGTTGGAGTTTCTCGTTCCATGGTGGGATCTTCAGCTGGGAATCTCTGTGAACCAGTTCTTATCCATCTTTGCTTCTTCCAACTCAGATTTCAGGTGGGTCTATGTCGATATCTACCTTTTGCAGCATTCAAATTGAACAACGTTATGGAAGTTATATGGTGCATTTGGTTCCAAAATTATGGCAGGCACAGGGCATTTTCATTTTTGTTCCCAGGAGGAGAAAGTGAGGAACTAAATGCTTCCCAGACAGTAGAGTCACATTCTTTTCCACAACATTTCATTGAATCGAGAGAGAAACTAGGCCTTGCTCCAGCTGCTGTTGTTGTATCTCGAAGAGAATCATATGATTCTTCTTTGGCTTTGAAATCATTGGATTACAACAGGCAGATAAGGCCCCATTCTCCGGCAATTGGTTGGTAGAGGAATATTAAATATAACTGTTTCTTTTTCTTCCTTTTTTCCCCTGTTCTTCCTCTTTTACAATCTTTCCGTCATTTTTCCTTTCCTTTATTCGTATTGTGTTCTTTGGTTGTGTTGCTTTAGCTTCAAGAAAAATGAAGCCAGGTGTTCTGAAAGAAAATGAGAACTCAGACTTTGTCACAAATCCATATCAAGCAATTGTCATGGCCAGAGATTCTCTTAAGCGAAAAGAAGCAGCTCACAAGATGCAGGCTGAAATACTGAGTTTGGACGACGAAGTTAATGAAATAAAGAGAAAGAATGATGAGGAAAAGCTTACTATTCAGGACTTGGAATTGACACTGATAAAGCGTAGGAGAAGGGCAGAAAAGTGCAGGCGGCTAGCAGAGGCACAATCTTCATATAGAACTATGCTAGAGAGGATGATTCGTGATGCAATGCACCAGTAAGATTTTTGACTCTACACAAGAGGTTGTTTTCTCTATTTTTGTCGTATAGTAATTGAAAGGTTGCATTTCTGAACTATTATTGCAGGAGTGTTGTTTATAAGGAACAAGTGAGACTGAACCAGGCTGCAACACATGCACTCATGGCAAGGCTTGAAGCACAGAAGGCAATCTGTGATGCTTCAGAGAAAGAACTCCACAAGAAATACAAACAAAGGGACGAGCTTGAGAAACAAATTAGGCCTGAATGGGAACAGGGAAGGAAGAGATCAAGAATGGATGATACCTTACCTGAAGATGCAGACAGTAAAACTGTACTTTACTTACCAGGAATAAGGACAAGGACACCTTCACACAAGGAGCTCAGAGAGTTTCTAGAGGAGCAGAAAGCAACTGAAGCTGGCTTGCCTGCAAACGAAGATGCAAAACAAGAGGAAATTGAAGAGGAACTCAAACAACCTGAAATGACTATTATGAGAGAAGATCACGATAAATCAATCATTGCATTGGAAAATGAAATTCCAATTGAGTATACGCTTCAGGCACTGAAAATAGGAGAAGGAAAGAGAGAAAAAATTCAATTCCCAGTTATCCAAGACCAAGAAATAGAGGAGAATGAAGAGAGCAGAAAGCAACGAGGGAAGGGAAATGTAGAGAGGTGGCTGCAATTTCTGTTAGAGAATTCTGGAGAAGAGATTGAACGACAAAACTCAAATGGCTGTGAAACAAACACATCTGATGATATTATTACAAAGCTGAACCAAAAGTTCCCACAGGAGGCCAGGAGTTCAACACGTGTTCAAGGAAATGATAAAGGAAAAAGGTTAGAAGAGATTATTGAGATAGAACCACTGAAAGAAGAAGAAAATGGCAGTGTTGGTGGTGAAGCAATTGCAAGTAGCAACAGTTTTGAAGGGAAGGAAAGAATAGAAAGCCAAAAAGAAAGAGTGCGTACAAGGTCTGAAATTGCCAGGACATGGCAGCGTATCCCATCCTCTACATCAGGAAAAAGCCCATGGTAACTGGTGATGTTGACGAGATGGTGAACGGGCTGCAGGGAACAGCTTCATCAAGTCATCCATCAAGAGTATGAAGAAAGCAGTGAAAATTTGAAAGTGGAACCCCCCTTGTTCGATGCATTTGTATTGTAACTTGAAATATTTTTTCTTCTTTTTTACTTCTTCAAAATTACAGAGTGCAGCAATGACTGCATCAGTATTGTACCTTAAAATATTTTTTCTTCTTTTCTACTACTTCAAAATCAGTTGAATAACTCTGAAAATATGCATCTGTGAAAATATGTATTGTATATCAGAAAGTGTCTTTGATTTGTGTATGAGATTGGTTGTGAGAGGTGATAACATGTTGTTTGTCATGACCTGAATCCTGGATTCATGACCGGTATATAGATAAAGTTTTCCTCCAAAGTTCCATATCTATACAAATCCAAACTTACATATAAACTTATCTATTAAATAACTCAATCAGAGTTCAACGCAATATTAACAACAGACTAATTTCATAACATAATATAATTTGATTGTCTTAATACAAGAGTTTATATAAATTCATAGTTTTGGAGCACTAACTAGATATAAAAGGAAGTTACAGATTTCAACCAAAAAACAGGTTCAGAAGATCCAATAAAAGTGACCTGCTATCAAGTTAAAGCCTGAAAATGATAAATAATAAGATGGTGAGTTCGACAACTCAGTAAATAGATAACGTTCAATACACACACATGAAGTAATATGACAATGAGAAATATACATATAATTGGCTTTAGGTTCTTATAGGAAGGTTCCTTAAATAAACCATAACAAAAATATTATAGGGTAAAACTCGTTAGAAAATCATAATGCAATGAGCATGAGACTCTGTACTATAGGATGATCAGTCCACACAGGTTGGTGACTCCCCCGACCAACTAGGGTTCAGATATGATGTGCAAACAGACTAACACTACCCTGTTAGCATAGGTATTCTAACTGGCATACCGTAGATTTATAATCATATTCAAACAAACATAGTTATATCTCAATGCTTAATGATTAGTACTTAAAAGTGCA